GACTAGATTCTGGACACAGGTGCTTCATCCCACCTTACCAACATCATTGAGAATATTTTCCAACCTTCAGATTATCAAGGTAATGACTCAGTCACCATTGGAGACGGTCGCCAACTCTCCATTGCTCAGTCCGCTCGGGGCCTTCTACCGACTCCCTCGCGTAAGCTCTTCTTACGTAACCTTTTTAATTTTCCTCAACTTTCATATACTCTTCTTTCCATATCCAAACTCGCTCAAGACAATAATCTTTCAATTCGGTTTGATGCCTCCGATTTTCAAATCAAGGATCAGACGAAGAATTCAGTTCTTCTCTCAGGTCCGTGCCGTGAGAGGATCTATTCCATCTCAACAAGTTTTGAAAGTCATTCTCCAAAAACTGCATCCTCAACCAACATTCCAGCATCTATTCATTGGCACCATCGCTTGGGACACCCACATCAACATACTATGGCAACCATTTCAAAGCTGAATAAATCTCTAGCTATACCTACTTCTTTTTCATTTTTCTCATCATGTAAGGCCTCAAAAGGTCATAAACATCCTTTCTTCCCTTCTCAAAATCATAACTACAAGCCGTTTGAGCTTGTTCACACAGTTGTATGGGGTCCGGCCCCCTTCTCATCAATGCAAGGTTATAGATACTATGTCTCATTCATTGATGATTCGTCTCAATTTACATGGGTTTATCCCTTAATGCATAAATCTGAAGTATTCTCCAAATTTGTTCAGTTTCATACTTCCATTGAAAAACAATTCCCATTTACTATAAAATGCCTCCGCAGTGATGGCGAGAAAGAATTTGTTAACTCAAACTTGAAAACTATCTCCAAACACACGGCATACAACACCAAAATAGTTGTCCTTACACTCCCGAACAAAATGGACTCGCCGAAAGGAAACATCTCCATATTCTTGAAACTACAAGAACCTTACTAAATATAGCCCATCTCCCTTATCACCTATGGCTAGATACTCTTCTTACCACAATTTACCTTATCAATCTAATGCCATCACCCACTATCTCCAATGTATCACCATATCAGATCTATACAACAAAGCTCCAAACTATGATCATCTACGAATCTTTGGGTGCGCTTGCTATCCACTTCTTCCCTCCCAAACTGCCCACAAACTCTCTCTGAAATCAACATAATGTGTTTTTATAGGCTATGCTCAATCATATAAAGGCTACTGATACCTCGACATCACTACAAACAAGGTCTATACCTCTAGACATGTCTCTTTTGATGAAACCTACTTCCCATTCTCCCAAAAACCCATCACTACTGCTACAGAAACCATGGACAGCAACATAAGCCCCAATCTACTATTATCAATGCCCATATCACACACCAACATCAGGACAGCTACCTCAATACCTCCAACCCCACAAACCTATTCTAAGCTTCCTGAAGCAATTTCATCTTCTTCGCAAACTAATGCTAATGCCTCCCCACCACACTCTCAACCGTTGCAGCCACCTAACACCTCCACTCATCCCATGGTCACCAGACTACAAACCGGAAACCTCAAACCTCAACAAATTCTAAACCTTCATTCACCTCTCACAACTGATCCCAATACCTATGATGAAGCATCAAAATATCCACATTGGCGCAATGCTATGGCTTCCGAATTTCTTGTGCTCCAACAACAAGGCACATGGCTTCTTGTTCCCCACCCACTAACCAACCCATATTAGGCTGCTGTTGGACATTCAAAACAAAAAGAAATACTGATGGCTCTATAGCTCGTCACAAAGCAAGGCTAGTGGCTCAAGGAAACCATCAAGAATTTGGTCTCAATTACATCGAGACATTTAGTTTAGTAGCCAAATTTCCATCTATTAGAGTTCTGCTTACCATTGCTGTCACGCATAGCTGGTCCATGCATCAACTTGATGTAGCAAATGCTTTTCTTCATGGCTCGCTTCCGGACACTATTTACATGAAACAACACCATGGGTTCGAAGACAAAACCTTTCCCCAGCATGTTTGCCTTCTTCAAAAATCCCTTTATGGTCTAAAACAGGCTCCAAGATAATGGTTTCACACTTTCTCTATGCATCTTCATTCCTTGGGCTTCCATAAAAGCAAGGCCGATCCAGCCCTCTTTATCTTCAAACAAAACTCTTTGCAAGCCTACCTTCTTATCTATGTGGATGACATATTAATTATAGGAAATGACCCATCACTCCTTCACAAAATAATCTCATCTTTAAGACAATCATTCTCTATCAATCACCTTAGGCAACCTAACACATTTCTCGGCATTCAGATTCTTTCTCACAACATCAAACTTCATTTGTCCCAAACATCATATTGTACCTCCATTCTTCAACAAATGGGCATGGATACATGCAATCCACTTTGCCAATCCATCTGTCACTAAAATTCTTCAAGATCCTCCGATAGACCTCTCTCTCTGCAATCCCACAACATATCGTCACATTACAGGCTCCCTATAATATCTAACTATCACTCACCCAGACATATCATTCATTTTTAACACATTATGCCAACATATGCATGCTCCCTCATCCTCTCACTATCATCTCCTAAAAAGACTTCTTCGTTACCTAAAAGGTACTATTCACTTTGGTCTTCCGATCTCTTCTTCATCTCTCCAACTCACGGCCTACTCCGACACTGACTGGGCGGCTGACCTTGACACAAGACAATCCACATCTGGCTATTGCTACTTTTTTGGTGATAATCTCATTTCTTGGACTGTAAAGAAACAATAAATTATGGCACGTTCCTCTATAGAAGTAGAATACCACTCTTTGGCTGTAGTTACAGCTTATGTCATTTGGCTTCATTGACTTTTTGCCGACTTCAATCAACCTCAAGAACACCCCATGATCATACATTGTGATAACACATCGGCTATCGCCCTTGCAAACAATCCGGTATTCCATGCTAGAACTAAACATATTGATGTGGATTTCCATTTCATAAGAGATCACATTCAAACAAAGGAGATTTCGATTACACCCATCAGTATGATTAATCAGATTGCAGATATCCTAACCAAACCACTCTCCACACCAAGATATCATTTACTTCGATCCAAACTAACAGTTCAGCTATCATCGTTAGTTTGCGGGGACATAAAAGCCAACACAACTAGGACAGCTGTACAACAGCTCAAGGATCGCACCATACAAACAACAAACAAATAACGGCCTGCTAAAATATTAGCCATACACTTGTACTTCATCCATTAGATTCAAGAACCCATCACACTCAATAAATAGGAATGTATTGTACTGATGGAAAGCAATAAGAAACGCTTTCCTTTTTCATTTCTCGTCTATGTTCTGAGTGTTCTGAGACTCCTGCTCCGACCGGAAGGGAAAGTCACCGAGTGAGCATAGTTGGATAGCGCGAAGGAGCCGAAGGACTCGAGAGGGTGAAAGTTGCCTTCACAGCGAGCGGCTCCCGTATTCCCTCCGATCAAAATGCCCTAACTTCCAATCCAACAGAAGGTGTCATAGAATGAGCCTTCACAATGATCGAGCTCCCGCCCTAGCTTCCGATCAGAAGTGTCGTAACTTTTGATCCTACAGGAAGATGTCGTTGAAGGAGCGAAGTCGAGCAGTGACCAGAGAGAGAGCGGACCGCGAAAGAGGCCAAAGGCCTCATTCTTGTGGCCATTTAAAGGTGCAAGGGTGAGATCATGCGAAGCACGATCGGAGTGGCTTCGACGTGCGAGCGACATGCGAGGTCGTGCGACACCAGGGCAGGCATGGGATTTTATCAATTTTTTTGTTTTAAGTATCAGATGAATATATATATATATATATATATATTAGCACTACCGAGCAAATCCCTATCAATACCGAGCAAATCCTGAGCAAATACTGAGTTGTACCTAGTTTTTTCTAGCAAATCCTGAGCAAATCCAGAGCAAATCCTGAGCAAAAAAATAAAGCATTCCTGGGTTCCGCTCCGGGTCAAGTCGTCGGGCCGCGCGGTAAAGAGTAAGAACACGTGGCGATATGTTATTGGCGGCCGAACGTACCTCTACGTCAGGTCAGAGGACGTAATAATTGTTCCGGCGCCAGACGTAGTATGCCTATTCCCCAATCACCAGTCACCACCAGTCCTTGAATATACGTCTGCTAATTTGTCTTGCCAGAACTATATAATTAGTGGTAGGATCGTATTTTCTAGTTAAGCTACGTTGCTTTACTATAACGCAGACAAAAAAAACTATTTAATTTTGAAATCATCATATTATAAATTAAAATATTTTCACTTATGTAATTATAATAATAAAATAAATTTAACTATCTAGCTATACAATAATAATAATAATAACAATAGAATATAAACTTAATTACAGAATTGATTGCAAATTTGCATGCACTTATAAGAATTATAATAAAATAATAAAACAAATGTTTAGTTAAAAGTAAAATTCATTGCAAAGCTAACAAAAATTAATCTAACAACAACATCATCATCATCAATCCTTTCTCCCACTACATGAGGTCAACTACATGAGTCTTTTTCCATTGTGACTAGTTAAAAGTCAAATTCTTGTTTAAATCTAATAATGAAAATTCATTTTTAATATTTTCTAACCAAGTCTTTTTAGGACTACCTCTATCTTTATTAACATATGTCAAATTTAATACCTCTATTTTCCTAATCGGGTCATCGGAAGGCCACTGTTTTATGTGACCAAACCATCTAAAGCACTCTCTCTAATCTTATCTTCCACTAGAGCTACTCCAACCTTTTCACGTATATGCTCATTTCGTATGTATCTTTAAGGGTAAAGCCACTCATCCACCTGAGCATCCTAACTCCGCAACACTTAAACTTCTAAAAAAAAACTAATCTAACAAAAAAAAAAAAAAAAAAAAAAAAAAAAAAGAACTTGAACTGTTCTAATAAAATTCACCTTAAGCCATAATTTTAACTGGAATGCTTACAGCGAATAAACTGATCCAAAATACATCAATATTGCAAAATCATCACTTGCGCCAGTTTTTAAAACTATTGATGAGAAGCCTTTATTTAATAAAATTATAAGCTGCACACAGATTCTGAAATATAATAGAAACAGTTACAATAAATTAGCAAGGAAAAACATTGTTGCCGAATGCACCACACAGAATTCAGATTACATTTGAGCAGATTAGATCAAACATCAAGAAGCCATAGATTCTATAGACTTCTCACACACCAATCTTATATACAAAAGGCACATCAAAACTACCTTATTATAGCAGAAAAAATTCCTTCATTTCCATGCAGAAGCCACAACCAAAATCTTATCCTCCCAGCCGAAATACAGCGCACCGTTTTCCTCCTTAATCTTGTACCTGTCGCAGTAGGACTTCAATAGCGACCTGATTGCTCCGTTAACATAAGAACTAAGCGGGCATGAGACAAATCCAGCCATTGTCATCCTCGCCCTCCACTTCCCCGCTGCTTCGTATCTTAAATTTGACAAAAATGGTTTGGTATCAAGAGGAGAATTTACTCTAAAAATCCTAAACAAATAGATTAAAGAATGTGCTGAAACGAAAACAGTATACCTTTCTATTCTGTCAGCCCCCTCACAGGCCACAATGTTCACTATATCTCTTGCGAGGCACTGCCTCTCCACATTCATTCTATCAGGGCTCTCCCTTGGTAAAGTCGCATCAAGTGACTCAAACACTGCTGAGTAGTAGTTGTAGACCTCCACAAACCTGTCATTTAATGATCTCATATTTCGCCATCAAGTTGGCTTGAAGAAAATTTGGTATTTATTATGTGCAAAGGAGAAATGAGTTAAGCTGGTTTTAAACTCACTTGTGACAAAAGAGAAGCACCAAGTCGTAGCAATAATGCAAAAACTAGAGGTGAAATATAATCCAACAAATCTGAATGCAGGGATGATGAAAAAAAGAGCATATGAAAAAAGTACATAAAATTCTGTTTTTAAGAGAGGATAGAGGGAACCCTTACTGCCGATTAGAGTGAACAAGCAAATTTGACAAGCTAAAAATTCTTTGAAGGAAACATGATGAAATGAAAATCTATATTTTTGAAGGCTATGTTTGCTTTGACTGAATGAGAGTATAAAGTAAAATGGTAAATAAAAGAAAATAAAATTTTGATTTTGATTTTAATTAATTGCAGATCTCTTGTTTGGTTGAGAAGCAAAATTACCGATAAAATGATTTGTTTTATTATCTGATGTTTGAGCAAAAAAGATGAAATCCGCCCTAGCCATCTCACAATTTTGTGGTCCTCCAACCGCACGGCTTGTGCATCTACAAAAAATCTTGCCCACCCCATCGATTCTAGTGTTATAACCCAAAACGGAAGATGAAAATAATCTTTCAACTGAATTTTTTTCCGGTCATCAAAAGTTTGAAAAAAATATATAAACGGACCAATTTCCTAAGTAATTCCATCAACTTGTGATTTCACTCATACAACAACAACATCATCAAGCCTTTATCCCACTATGTGGGGTCAGTTACATGAATCCTTTTTTCATCGTGTCCTGTTGAGAGTTAAATTCTCATTTAAATATAATAAAGATAGGTCATTTCTAATATTTTCTAACCAAGTCTTTTAAGTCTACCTCTACCTATCCTAACATAAGTCAAATTTAATACATCTACTTTCCTAACCGGGTCATTAGAAGGTTATTGTTTTATGTGCCCAAACCATCTAAGGTTACTTTCTCTAATCTTATCTTCCACTGAAGCAACTCCAACCTTTTCACGTATATGTTCATTTTGTATCATGTCTCTATGAGTAAAGCCATGCATCCACCTGAGCATCCTCATCTCTGCAACACTTAACTTAATGTTATACATCTCTTTTAATGGTCAACATTCTACACCATAAAGCATTGCAGGTCTCACCACCATCTTATAGAATTGTCCCTTTAATTTGAGAGGGGCCTTTCTATCACACAACAAGCTCGATGCATTCCTCCACTTCAACCATCCAACTTGAATTCTACTAATAATATCCCCATCAATTTCACCATCACTCTAAACAATAGACCTAATATATCTAAAGCGTGTACTCTTATTAATGATTTCATCGTCCAAAGTCACAATTCCCCACTAGATCTATTATCTCTAAAATTACACTCCATATATTCAATTTTAGATTGACTCAAACGAAAACTTTTAGATTCTAAGGTTGACCTCCATAATTCAACTTTACCTTGAACTCACTCTCTAGTATTATCAAGAAGAAGAATATCATCAATAAAAAGCATACATTAAGGTACAATCTCCTTTAAATTTCTAATGAGAATATCCATGACTAATGTAAAAAAATATGGGCTTAAGTCTGATCCTTAATGTAATCCAACTGAAATAGGAAAATACTTGGTCAAACCACCTTGTGTTTGAACACAAATAACAACTCCTGCATACATATTCTTAATGACTTGAATATAAGCATTATTAACCCCTTTCTTTTTTAGAACTCTCCATAGCACTTCTTTTGGAACTTTATCATATGCTTTCTTTAAATCAATAAATATTATAAGTAGATCCTCCTTATTCTCCCTATACTTCTCCATCAAACCTCTCAATAAATGTATAGCTTCCATGGTAGACTTACTCGGCATAAATCCAAATTGATTTTAAGAAATATTAGACTTATAACTAATACAAAACTAATTATGGTGATAAATACTCCAATTAAACTCAAGCAAAGTAGATCCTTCAAGTTTCTTCAAAAAAAAAAAAATTTTAAAAAAAAAGTAGATCCTTCAAGAAGCATTGGATGATGAAATAGCAAAACAATGGATGATGAAATAGCTTTTAGCATAAAATCGATGAAAGACTGTAGTTTCATGGGCAGCAAACCTTGGAAAGAAAGGGGCGGTATTGGTGTTTACATCCTGCTCAACAACTGTAACCAACTTTGGATTCAGACTCTTTACCATGCGAAGAAGTCGATCTCGTTGGTTCACTGTTGATACGCTTTCATCTGGCATATGATGAAGTTGAAATGCAAAGTTCACAACAAGTGCCTCGCCAGGTCGACAATCTAGCATTGAAGGAGTAACATCTGCAGTCTTGGCAGCTATTGCCTGGAACTTAAATGGGACACCTGCTTCCTCTGCAAGCTTCTCTAGGCGTTGCCCAATGACTTCCAAGCCTCCAATTGTCCGTTGCACTGACTCTGGATCATCCACACCAGTTATCCTCAAATGGGGTGGTTTTGTTTGCCGAGCTGATAAGGCTTGAATCAAAGTTATGTATTGACTTCCTTGGTTTATATCAAAGTCTAAAATATGGACTCTTTCTTCATCTTTGAATGCTTCAGCAATCGCACCATTGGCAGCCATGAAACCAAATTTAAAGCAGGGGCAAATTTCAAAGAGGATCTGCATAGCAGACAACTGATCGGTTGTCGGGGGCTCTTTGCATTTCAGAGCTTTGTAGAGGCCATGACCTGAAGAGACAATTCTGGCTGCAAGCCCTTCTACCAAGTAAGCTGCGAGCCTTTGAGGAGGATCCCCTTGAATTGCCACCATTTGCCGAAGCTCTATGATCATGGCCTGGGCCTCTTCCACATTTCCATCTGATAGGACAGATGCACAATCAAAAAGCAACTGTTTAGAGGTCCTCATTTCTCGGTTGCTACTGATACTGCTGATGTTTGAGTCCGATGAAGATTCTTTTGGTGAATTTGGAGTCATGAGACTTTTGATGGATTCAGTCCAGTCTTCATCCATAAACATTTCCTGGCCAAGGTCTGTAAAGTCCTCATCATTCTCGCTCAGTAATGCCCTCTCGAGCTCTTGAAGCTTCAATGTTATATCAATTTCTTCAAAGTCCATTTCAGGCTCCGGACTCTGACTCTCCAACAGAGAACGAGCTGCTTGTTGATAATTGTTTGAAACAGATGAAGTCTGATGCCGAACTGCAGCAAAACATGCATTATATGGATTATCTTGTATAACAGAAGAACGACCGTTCCCAATCAGTTGATAAGTCCCTGAAAAAGCTTGCGGACGGTGCAAATTTCCATGAACTGAAGATGATAGATGAATAGAGTTTAAAGGATTCAGACCAGTGGAAGCATTAGTAAAATATTGCTGACCATATATGTTTGACTGGTAAGAAGGAAGACCATAATGCAACATTTGTTTATCTGAGGTAAATATCTGAGAAGATAATCCTGTGGAATCATTACTTTTATGCCCATAACAGCCAGGTTCGCTGCACGATGTAGATGAATCTGCTGAGCTCATTAAAGACATGTTAGCACCCGCCGATTAGCTAGGATCAGATCCAATGACTGTGATCTATCAGCTATTCAAATCTGTTAATCCAACTAACTTGCAAGAATTATCTAGAGAGCAGCTAGCTAAAAACAGAGAACCCAGCAAAACATGCGTATCCACTCATAACATGAAGCACCTGAAACTTAAATATTACAAGAGGAAAACATAATATTATATAAAGAAGCAAATCAAAATGCAATCATCCTGTATTCAAGACGGATTTTGAACGTAAAATAAATGGTGGTGACTACTTCAGTAACTATTCAATTGAGGAATCGCAAAAGAATAAGCGAATTAACGCCATAGAGAAAATACCATAAACGGGTGGTCTTTCAAATACTAAGATGGTGCAACACTCATTCATCCGTTTGTAAGAGGGAAAAAAAATCCAGATTTGTGGTAAATGATCATTGACTGACGACACTAGTTTCAAGTTTTCAGCATGAGAACATACATATAGGCGTTTTAGCAAGATTTTGAGTAGGGGGTTCTAGCCATATCTGCCACACGATGATTTGTAGGGCATAAATGACATAAAGAGCAGAAGAAGTTCAAATAAAAAGGTTTCTCATAAATATACTGTTTGGGAAATTAATTCCTAAAATTCCGTATGTTTTAAGTAGTAAATCTGTTATAACTCAGCAAAGATTTGTTGCCTAATATCTAACCTTAGTATTTATCTAATCACTCCCTAATCTAAACAAATCTATTAACTGCTCTTATATAAAACCACTCCAAACCAACCAGTCAAGGCAATCCATGATTCAGAAGAAAGCTCATGGTTTTCTCCAGCCAGGAATGCGAGTCCTTCATCACCATCAAGGCTTATATTGAGCAGATCCCAGCTTCACTGTCTAGGCCATAGGCGAGGGCCTACAGCAGCAGCAAGTGAAATGAAAAACATAGGTCTTTGATAGCAAGTCAACAATCTTTGAAAGTAGACGGTGAATTAGTCCATGGCATAGGTAACTGCTGACATCATCATCTGAATTGAACTCCAGCAAGGTGGCAGGCAACAAAGTTGATTAGATTGAACAAGAAATTATAGATTTGATATTCAACTTACAAATGATTCTTGCTAAAACAATTACTTGTTACTACCATTTAGGAAAATATGGCGAAGGTGTTAAGAAAATAAAGTAAATATACATATATTTATTAATTTTATGTTCTTAACACCTTCACCATGCTTTCCAAAATGACAATAGCAAGTAATTCTTCCAGCCAAAACATCTATTAGTTAAATATCAAAGCTATAATTTGAGACCAAACCAGAGATTTTAGCTTTGATATTTAACCAATAGATGCTTTTGGCTGGAATAGTTGCTGTTGTAGTTTAGGAAGGTATGGTGAAGACGTTAAGAAAATAAAATTAATGTATGTATATATATAGATATATATGATAGTATGTATATAATAAATAAGTTTATTTAATTAGTATGTGGATTTGTTGGAGTTATGAAAAGTGAAGGAATAAGAGAGAATCTTCTCAGCAATATTATAGCAATATGTAAACATCATGAACTAGTGAAACTTTATCACTGCATGTGGTTATGGACATAGGCTTATTTAGTCGAAACAGGCAAAATAAGTTATTCTATGAGTGAAGAAGACAATGGAGATAAATAAGAAAGCTCTCTCAATGATTCTACTGTGTTTCATAAATTATGTTTTGACAGATGTCTTTAAAGAAACACCCAACAAAAAGAGAAGCTAAATTTGGAGCTTTTTATACATGACCAAACGAATCTCCAGCAAATTATATCAAAACTAATTTCTATATTTGTTTTGCATGTAGGAAAGTACACTGAATAAATCACAATTAAATGACTTTATTTCCATTAACCAAGATTTGAAAAAAAATATTTGAGATGAATGTTGTGATGAATGTCAAACTTTGCAAAAGATAATTTTCATCCATTGCATGCCAATTATATTTATACCTACAAACTATGAATATGAGAATAAAGAAAATATTATTTGCAGACATAACCTTCTTTTGGTTTCTTGAAGAGAAATAAACAAATATGACTTGATAAAGCAAAAGAAAATGCACAAGAAGCTCATTTCAAGACCTTGCAAGGTACTTTAACCTCACTCAGTAGCCAACAATAACATCAAGCATTATCCCATTAAGTGGGTTTGGCTATATGAATCTTTTTTCAGCATTGTGTTCTATTAAGAGTCAAATTCTCTTTTAAATCTAATAAAGAAAGGTCATTTCTAATCCTTTCTAATAAAGTCTTTTTAGGTCTACCTCTACCTCTCCTAATATAGGCCAGATTTAATACATCTACTCTTCTAACAAGGTTATCGGAAGGCTGACAGTTCATATGACCAAACCATCTAAGGAGACACTCTCTAATCTTATATGCTACTACAGCTACTCCAACCTTTACACGTGTATACTTGTTTCGTTTTTCTGTCTGTATTAGTAAAGCCACTCATCCACTTGAGCATCCTCATCTCTGCAACACTTGAATTAATTTTATACTTCTCATTTAATGACCAACATTATGCATCACAAAGCATTGCAGGTCTCACCACCATCTTAAAGACTTTCGTATCACACAACAAGCCTGACGCATTCTTCCACTTTAATCAAATAACTTGAATTCTACTAATAATACCCCCATTTATTTCACCACCATTATGAACAATAGACCCAAAATATCTAAAAGGTGTACTCTTTTTAATGACTTGATGGCCCATAATCACCCCCAGACATCACAGTTCACAAACATCGTAAAATGGAAAACTTTGCATTTGTTATAGAGCCAACAGAAAGAAATCCTATAACTACATGAACATACAAAAACCCACTACCCAAAGCCCTCTGTACATTCCTCTTAATCAATAAAACCCTGATAGACAGGGTATGCTAGGATACGCATGAACAGCAAGGACAGTTGTGCAAAGTGACAGCTGAGAAACCTACAAGAAAATAGAGTTTCTAACCAATATGAGAACTTCTCATCACCTCCCCCAGTATCACTAACAGCACATGATCTCCTAAAATAATACTAATTTAAGCTTTTCTTCGTAGGATTCAATGAATGACAACATTAATAATAGTGGTTGCATAGAAAGTAATATCCTTACCTTGTAGTTGAAAAGCCTCTAACCTGTAAAGTAAAAAATGCATGAGATGACACTTAAAAAGGAACCAACATACTTCACACTTAAAAAACTCCATAGCATATGAGCATTAGCTTTGCAGAGCTACATAACCTTCTATTCCTCAGTGAAGGTTGAAGTTTAACATGATTATGCAAGATCCTTAGTATCAAAAGAAGCAGAAGAGACAAGAAGAAAAATAAATATTTCTCATAAAGTAAAATAAAATCAGTAAATAAAAATCTTTTCATAACGTAGAAGTTAAGTCACCTGCTTAATCAAATCCGTGAAACAAAAATCACACTAAACAAGAAGCATTTTAAAGTTTTTGATCAACTAACAAGATCGAAGCTCATTTTAAAGATTCAGCTGATGCTCCCTCAAAAGCTGAACCCTTTCAAATCATATGAAAACTGGAATTTTGATTAAATAGGGAAAAAATGTATATAATCATCGCATCAGTAAAGTGGTTGTTCGCATTCCTAGAAGCTTGAAGCAATAGAAGTGATGTGCAACAAAACTCAAAGTTGACAATCAAAGGAGGATTTCAAGGAATCTTTGCCTTAAAACTTTCAAATCTTTGCATCAAGTATAATGATATGCTTCACATGATAACTGCAAATGAAATTCACTACATTTTTGTTTGGTTCAGAGAACCTGGAATTGAGAATTTTGACCATCATTTTTACATATTGCGCGCGTCTCCCAAACAATCCAATACAGCAATTGATGAGTTGCTTCAAGTCTAAAGCATCATAAGAAACACAAATTAGTTCTATCGCATCCTTTTCATGATTCATAGTTAGGATCATTAGTTATATGACTCTAGATAAATATACCTATTACCTAGTTTGTGTCTACATGAAGAAGAAGCAAATTTGTTTGGAGCAATGGAATTTATTAATGTAGCATGACTCAGAACTTGGATATCCTAATGCAACTAAAATGATGCAGTATATATAAATCACTTGAAGAAATTTAAGATTTGCATATCAATGCCTACGAAATACTCAACAAACTCAACTTATTTGGGTGCAAATCAGAAAATATGAGAATTAGCACCCATGTGATAATGCAATGATCAAACAAATCAGAAGAAGCTCACAAGAAATAAGAACCATACAAAATCAAAAGGCAATTGCAATTTATTCACCACAATTACAATCATAGTTGTATCATATTTAAACAAAATCAAGTACAATAATAAACCAATAACCATATCTGAAAAAGAAAATTGAGTCAAATAAAGAATTCAGCAAAATAAAAGAAATATAGGCCAAGCAACAACACAAGGAGATAACTCCTTCAAAATGAAGTAGTTGCACTTGTACCATACTCAGAAATCACTCATCCAAGTATCTAACTAATCTAGAATAATTATTAAAGAAAACGTTGTCCATTATATGTCATAAGCTATTAATTTATAAATAATTAGTTCCTAATCAATTGCATCTTATCAGTTTAATTTAATTTAAAATCCGATCTTCCACAAACTAAAGAAATAGAAAACATAATTAAAAGAATACACGACTACAAATGAATGAAAGTAAAAGACTCACAACTGCAAATCCCAAAATTTGTGGAGAAGAGATCCAACTACAAGAATAGTGTTAGAACACTATAGAAACAAATGGTGTTAAGACCACAATCAACATGAACCAAAAGTTGCCAATTATGAAAACAATGTAAAGGATTTTCATAGGAACTTAAAAGCCAAAAACTAAGGAACTCTTAGACCGGTCACACGGCACCGGCTAAGGCGGATAGAGGCGGAACTCTTCCACCCCTCTGTATGCGCCAATCCAAATGCAGGAGCCAACATAGCCATTTTGGAAGGTTTTTCGAGAAATTTTATGAGGGAAATTGAATGTAGGGATAGTTTAGAGATATCCTTTTGAATTGTGTACATTTTTTTTAAGCATATTTAATAAAATAAATAAGTAAGAATTGTGTGCATTAAATAATTTGTTTTCCTAGGGTTAGGGCATCTTGAATTTGGCTAACATTTGAGATCTCTTAGACTAA